TTATAGAATTAATCTGGTTAACAAGATTAGTTTTCAAAAATAGTATTCTCAAGTACAAATCATCATTAATGATTTTAAACTTGAAACTGTTGTCCTTATTGATACAGGTGCATATGTTAACTGTATTCAAGAAAGAATAATACCAACTAAGTATTATCAAAAGACACTTGAGAAACTTAGTTCAACAAATAGAAGTAAAATGAAAGTTAAATACAAGTTGTCAAATGTTCATATTTGTCAAGACAATGTATATTTTAAAACATCTTTTGTCCTAGTACAAAATATGACTATTGAAGTCATTCTTGGATTACCATTTGTATACTTGTTGTATCCATTTACAACAGATACTAAGGGTGTAACCACTAGGCCATTTGGTCAATCAGTAACTTTCAATTTTATTAGAAAACCAGAAACTAAGACATTAAGACAACTAAGAGATCACTTAGTCTCTCAGCATCTTAATGCAATCAATCAAAAAGCTCAACAGGTAAAATTTCTCCAAGATGAAATTAACCATAAAAGAGTTCAAGAACAATTAATAAATCTAATCTTAATTAAAAAGATTGAGCAATTTAGGTTAAAATTGGAAGAAGAAGTATGTTCTAACCTTCCTACAGCTTTTTGGCATAGGAAGAAACATATGGTAAAACTTCCATACATAAAAGGATTTAGTGAGACAAATATTCCTACTAAATCCAGACCAATCCAAATGAGCCATGAAGTAATGGAGATCTACAAGAAAGAGATTTGCCAGTTACTTAACAATGGCATTATTTAGAAATCGAAATCTCCTTAGTCATGTCCAGTTTTCTATGTCATCAAAAATGCAGAATTAGAAAGAGGCGTACCAAGACTAGTGATCAATTATAAACCATTAAATGCTGTTTTAGAATGGATCAGGTACCCAATTCCAAATAAACAGGATTTAATTAAAAGACTTAGTAATTCAGTAATCTTTTCTAAATTTGATTTGAAAAGTGGTTACTGGCAAATCCTTATATCTCCAGAAGATAGATATAAGACTGCATTTACAACTCCTTTTGGTCATTACAAATGAAATGTAATGCCTTTTGGATTAAAAAATGCACCTAATGAATTTCAAAATATCATGAATGAAATTTTTAATGGTATTAGTCATTTTTCTATTGTCTATATAGATGATATACTCATCTTCTCCAAGTCAATAGAAGAACATTGAAAGCATCTTCATGCTTTCATTGAGATAGTTAGGCGCAATGGTCTAGTCATCTCAGTTAGTAAAATTCAGGTGTTTCAAACTTCAGTAAGGTTCCTTGGTTACAACATACAACACTCAACTATTATTCCCATCAGTCGTTCTATCCAATTTGTAGATAAGTTCCCTGATGAGATTCTGGATAAAAACCAGTTACAAAGGTTCTTAGGTTCCCTAAATTATGTTTCTGACTTTTATCAAGATCTTAAGAAAACTGTTAAACCTCTGTATGACAGGCTCAAAGGAAATCCTCCTCCTTGGACTTTTGTTCATACATCCATTGTTCAACAAGTCAAGCAGTTCATCAAAACTTTGTCTTGCCTTGGTATTCCTTCGGTTGATTATTTCAAAATCATCCAAACTAATGCCTCCGACATTGGCTACGGTGGTATCCTCCTTCAAAAGCTCACTCCAGACTCCTCAGAGCAAATTGTTCGTTTCCACTCTGGTATCTGGAATAATGCACAAAGGAATTATAGTACTATTAAAAAAAAGATTTTATCTATTGTCCTGTATATCTCTAAATTCCAGGATGATATTCTAAATCAAAATTTTTTAGTAAGAGTTGATTGCAAATCTGTAAAATATGTTTTGAAAAATGATGTACAAAACATTGTTAGTAAACAGATTTTTGTCAGATGACAATCTATTTTAAGTATTTTTGATTTTGACATCGAATATATTAAAGGCAGTAATAACTGCATACCTGATTTTCTAACCCCATGAATTTTTGTAGGAACCTCATGGCGGACAGGAAAATTAGTAAGGCTAGTACCTCTTCCAAAGCCGGGAGAGATACTGCAAAAATCAAAGCCCAGTTAACCTTACCAAGCCCAGTAGTCTTGTCAAGCCCAATCCAAATTGTTAATCGTTACCAATCTCTTGGTAAACCTAACCCAGTAAGACCAGTGGTCCAGTCTACATTGGTAGCCCCATCCACTTTTCTTCAAATGGCCCAAAAAGAACTAACCAATTCTTCAAGCCCACAATTAGTTGCCCCAAGTTAACTAGTTGTTTCATACCCAGTTTCTAAACCCAAACCAACTTTCATAGCCCACAGAGGCCCAAAAGTTGACTATGTCAAAAAAGGTGAACCCATTACAGTGTTTGCTATTGAACATATTCATGCTCACCTAAGCAACCCAAAAGATATAGTAAATATTTATCTGGAACCAGGATGAAACTTTATCCCATCTGATCCAGAGAAAACATTTACTTTTTATCAAGATATATTATTCTTTACCCAGTCTATTCATATCAAACTCATATTTGATAGGAACGACCCAAGTAAAGTAATATATCATTCATTATATATTTTAAAGTTCATCTCTCTCAAAGAATGAGAATCTTATCCTTTTTTGCTTAAAGATCTCGAGGGATATGAAAAGAAGTTTAATTACTATGATTACATTGAATCATGAAATAAACTTCTCCTCTATCAGGATGAGTCATTAACTTACTTCTGGTTCATTCAATTCGATAAGAATTTCAAAAGTCAGATTCCTGCCTGGTTTGCACAGTGGTGGTTTCTTCATGGCCCCATATCTGAAATTCTACCCTGGACCTACAAGATCAAGTCACTTATTTTGCATCTATTTTTAAACCTAGGTTTTATGACAGAACTCATTTCACGAGTCTGTTAATATTCTTCAGTAAATATAAGATTCCCTGGATTTATAAATGGTCTTGAAAAATTTGTTCTAACTTTGTTTGCAGGCAATCTAGTGTTAAATGGTGGCCAAGGTTCCAGCATTATCGCATTATTACCCAAGTAAAATAGGAGTTTCCTGTAAAGATCCCAGCACCAGTTACAGTATCAACTGTTGCTGCAATCCTTCCAGCAATAACTCTACCACCAACAAAGGCTTTGCCAGCCCTCAGGATTTCCACTCAAGAGCAGCCTCAGGCATCTGAAAAGCCTTCAAAAGTCAAAACCAAGCAAAAAAAGTCCTCCTCTAAGGACTCTACTAAAGTTCCAGGCTCCTTCAAGCAGCCTAAATCGAAGTCTTCTGAGCTCATTACTATTGCTAAGAAGCTTCTTCAACAAGCAGCCTGTAGTGGTTCGTCTTTACCAGCATCCTCCATAGGCTCAGTCAACCCATATGCCAACATGGATCCAGATGCCCAAGATCCATATGCTGATTGTGATGACCTCACCCCTGACCTGGCCTCTCCATGATTCTTTTTCTTATGCGTGATAGCTTTAATCACTACTTTCTATTAAAGAAAGAAAAGCTGTCTATTGCGTATAATGTTAAGTTATCAATTATTCCCTCGATTTTTTCCATTAAGTAAAGCACCCATTATTCCTATCAAATCTGCTTTTTTCACCGAAAGTAGATTTCTTTTGTCCGGAGCAGGGACCCACCTAGCACTCTGCACCATGTTTCAGACATCAGGATCCACCTAGTGTTCTTTAGTCAAAAGTCACCCAGAGTTAAAGTAATTCACCCTTGCTTTTCCACCGAAAGTTGAAGAGAATAGTCTTTACCTTTGGTTAAAGCAAAAGAAGAAATCATAACAAGAGATTCCCTAAGTAATCTCTACGTCTATAAAATGGTTGCTTCACTTCAGTTCAAGGCAGAGGTTTTTTGAAACCCATATTACATACTAAAGACACAATTCTCTCCTACCTTCACTAGTAAAACCCTGTATTCCGAGATCTCTCATAATGATGCAAATGAAGAGATTCTCATCTATTCTCTTTCAGTACTAGCCCACTTAGTGCTAGTATTGTAAGTATTTTATTTCTGTAATTTGTATTTATATTTTGTTAAACAAGTTTTTATAAGACAAAACATTATTTTGTCACGTTTATATTTACATCTTGTGATTCTCTATATATATATAATCGTGCACTGTTATGAATGAAACATATGGATGATGTTTTATGAATTTATCATTATTCCCCCTCTCTGTCTCTGTCGTAGTGGACTGGTGGCAATGATTTTTATGTTCTGATTATGGTTTTTATGTTAAAAACTTGGTTAAAGTTATTGATTGTTAATTTATATGAATATTATGTAATATATGTATTAGGTTTAAAACAACAAGCATATTTTGGGTTCTACCCAAATTCAACTCAAATTGAACCTGTAAAGTAACTCAAAATCAGTCCGAAATTATTAATTCGAATTCAACTCGAGCCCGCCTAAATTAAAATCGGGCAGTGTTCGGGTTGAGTTTCTCGACCTGAGATAGGGTTAGGGTTAAGGTTAGGATTGAAGATTATATACTTAGGGTTAAGTTAGAGTTGACCATCTAACCCGTTCAACCTGTCCGAATTGCACCCCTAATTGCCTCGCCCAACCCTAAGGGGAGAAGAATCCCAAATATAGAACAAGAAAAATAAAGTAAGAAAGAATAATTATATTTGCTAGATTATACTAATTAGTTATTGATGTATATCTTGTTTACATGTTATTATTGTAATTACCCGTGTAATATTCTTTATATATAAACCTCAATACATAAGTGCTCCTGTGTGTGAGATTTACACATTTCTACATGGTATCAGAGCTACACTACAGTTCAACTCATCTCTTTAGTGCTTAGCAATCTTGATTCTTTATATCCTCTGTACTTTGCTTCCCTCCCATTTCAATGGTCTATTCAAGCCCAAAACCCATTGTGCTTCTCTCCAACTTCATCTCCACATCCTGCACTCACTGTATCAAATATCAAAAACTATGACACTTGACTTCACTAATTATCTTCTGTAGAAGGAACTTTTTCTTCCAGTTTTAAAAGGACATGATGTTTATGATCACGTTGATGGGTCATCTATTTGCCCTCTTTCCACCATGACTAATGATTCTGGCCTCTTCTCGTGGTGATGGTGGTCGTGATCGTGATCGTGGTCGTGGTTACCACAATCATTACAACAATAACAACTTTCGCTATGTTCAGCATTCATCACCTTCTCATGATACTTCTTCAACTCGTGGACATGGACGATCTGATTCTCATGACTCATATCAATCCGTTTCTTGACAAAACTCATTTTCTCCTCATCGGCAATCTTTCCAATCATGAAAAGGATGGTTCTTCTTTTCTTAGTGCATGTCCAATGCCACAACAATCATTTTCTCTTGGGGCTATTTGGTAATGGGGTATGGGGTGGCTTGGGAAGATGAGTTTGAAAAAAATAGTTCAAAACTCTCACAAATCTCATATTCGTTTAGAAAATTCAGTTTCGAGTTTTCAAACCCGATCCTTAGTTGACCCAAATATTAAATTCATGATCATGGGTATCGTCAAACCTAGAGGAAGGATGGGTTTGGGAATATGTGTAAGGGATTAAAGATCTAAAAAATAATTATACACTTTAACATGGGTATAAATTAGATTGATTAAGGATAAAATAGTTATTTATAAGACAAATAGTTATTAATAATTATGATATATCCATGAGTCATATATGTGTATGTGTTGCGTACCAAATATGTATACGAACTCATCTCTTACAAAGAAGAGTTTGAGTTTATAAGAATTTAAAAAAGTTAATCTAAACTCCACCTCAAAATATATCCAAACAAGCCTTTAGAGCATCCCCTATCCAATGCCAATTTTGTTATGAGTTTAATCGCATTGATCGTAAATGCCCAAATCATCAATTGGCCTTTGCTGCCAATTATCACTCATACACTCTACCTTCTCCTCCTATACCAGATGGTTATGATCCCAATTGGTTTCCTGATACCAGTGCACCTAATCACATAACTCCCTCGCCAGGCACTCTTATGAATTCTCACCCTTACGATGGTCGTCTTGATCGCATTCAAGTAGGTAATGGCATGTTACTGTTTATTTATCACTCTAATCTTCTTACACCGACTTCCACCTTCATATTTACAATGCTCTGGTCGCTCCTAGTCTTCAAAAAAAATTGCTTTCTGTTTACCAGTTTACAAATGACAATCAATACAGCATTGAATTAGACCCTTTTGATTTTTCTGTTAAGTTCTGGAAAACTGATAACTTTCAATCTGAAGGTTGACCACTAGTTTAAAAACTAATATATAGCATAAAATCCAAAAAAAAAAACTTCATTGGTTGGTCCACTTGGAACAATCTTTGAGGCTGGATGGCTTGTGATACTAAGATACTCACAACCGTCACGTAACAACTCCACCAACCACATAGTAAAAGATTCAAGTAGATCCCACTGGAATCCACAGACAAAACGGTCCCATTCAATTGCCGCCCTCCAACTTCTACAAAACCAATCTCTCTCCCAAAAAAAACTGAAAATTCTGCCTCCCAAAACAATGGAAGCTCTCTGCCCCAAATTTGATCTCAACCCACCTCACCTCTCCCCATTCTCCAAACCACTGCCAAATCCCACTTCTCTTTTGGCCTATTCGCGTCGATTTTCGTGCTCAAATGGTCGTAAATACCAGAAATATAGAGTAATAATACCTCAAGCTTTAGCTAAAACAACGTCAAATGGAGATTTTGTTCAAGTAAATCAGAATTTGATCAGATGGGTTGGAAGAGGGTTGCTTGGTTTTGCTGCTGCTGTTTCGGTTTGTAGCGATTCTCCTGCTTTTGCAGAGTCTCTGACTGTGGCGTTCCCTGTATCTCACACTAGGGAGGTCAGTGATTGTACTTTATGTTGTTGTTCATATGTGTCTGATAAATTTCTTTTAATGGGTTGTTTTGTGTTGGAAGTTCAAATGTAATTTGAAGCACAATTCTAATATCAGTTGCTTATGGGTATAGAGTTTGTTGTGTTAGGTTAATACAGTTCAAAGAACCCTTGTGGAGGCTTGGGGATTGATTAGAGAGACATTCATTGATCCAACGTTCAATCATCAAGGTACCAAATCAGAAACCAGTGTTTACCTTTTTTTCCTGTCTTTTTTTTTTTGGGTCAGGGCTTTTTTCCTGTCTTTAGTTGCCTAGAACCTTGGTATAAGAAACCAAAAATGACTATCAGGCTGTGATTTGCTATGCTATGTCTGAGTTTCTATGAGACGAAAAGCTACAAGACTTAATCACATAATTGGGTTATTACTTTTGTTGATCCAGTTCCTAAGCAATCAAAATTGATTGGTTAATACGACAAATAACTTCTCTTTGCAGATTGGGATTTGAAGCTGCAACAAACAATGGTGGAAATGTTTCCACTCAGATCAGAAGATGCAGCGTATAACAAGATTAGGGGAATGCTTTCAACTCTTGGAGATCCTTTTACTCGTATCATCAGTCCTAAGGTCTTATATTTGAGTTACATCATTTCTTCTATGGGAATGATGTTTTTAGCTTTTATAGGAATTGAGGATAGCAGTCGTATCTTAACCTTAAAATTAAAATGAAAAGTTACGAGGACTTGTAGGAATTTATGTCGTTTTTCAAGTAAATCAAAAGTAGAACTTCTTGTTGTTACCATTGTCAAAACTAATGTTTTCTTATTCCCTTAGTTTTTACTCCTTACACTTTTCTAGTTGAGTCCTTATGCCTAATATCTTGAGGTTTGAACTTGTTATTCGAATTACCTAGTGTTCTTTCCTATTGTCTTTTCTAAGCAGATATTCACATTTGAAATAATTCGATAAACTTAAGTGCAGGAATACCAAACTTTTAGGATTGGAAGCAATGGCAATTTGCAAGGAGTTGGTGTCTTCATTAATGTTGAACCTAAAACTGGGCACCTGGTTGGTAACACTCGTCAAATAATTTTTTATGACTATTGGTTCTCATAAAATGTGTACGTGTCTATGTGAATTCCCACTTGATTTTGCATCTTAACACTGTTTCGCTTAAATTGCCTAGATTGTGCAGAACACATGCCCCAATTGCTGCAAACCAATAGGAAAAGGTGCTTAATAGTCAACTGTTGCCTGAAATGTTCAGACGCCCTTCTAATATTCTGAACTGTTCTCTGCTACAATATCTATCTGTTGTGTCCTTGTATCAATTCTTTTTAAGCTTTCAGCTTTGTTGTGCAATGATGTGGTCAGCTGAATCCTTTTAAGTTAGGCATCTGTATTATTTGCCAACTTGTCAAAATAAGAAGCCTATGGAAAGCGGAAAAAGCATAACCATCTGCATTTGTGGGTGGCAATGACTCCTGCATATGGAAATACCGAATTGGATTCCCACATCTTAAATCGAATGTTCTATGCAGAAACTTATGAAAAAGAAAGAGAGGGATGGATGGAAATGGGGATCATAGGTCCATCCTGATAACATATGGTGGCAGTGAAGATGATTTTCCTCTTATCTTAATCAGATCTGCAAGTCTAAGTACTATGAACTTGAAATAAATAAAAATTACACATATGGTTTTATGGCTATCTTTTGAATCTCAACTAGTATTAGCCATGCTGAAGCAAGCATTAGCACTTGTCTAATTTGAGCTGTGTAATATAAATGATGGCAACTTACTACAATTGTCAATTTGTCACTAGTTTAGTTCTTTTGCTTGCTCCAATATAGTCATCTAACCCTTCCACAAACAAAAGGTGTCAACTATACATCAAGAAGACTATGCTTCTCTAGATTATTGATGGATGGTACCAATCACCATATACTCATGTACCACAATGAATTTAATTCCATGATCGCAATATTCTTTGTCTTACAGAATACATGTTCATGCATCGAATTCTATGTCTCTGCCTTTCAGGTTATTTTGTCTTGTGTAGAAGGTAGCCCAGCTGCTCGTGCTGGCATACATGAAGGAGATGAGTTGGTTGAAATTAATGGTATGTTAATGATTAAACTTATGATCTTATCAGTTCAAGAACCAAAATTGGAGCTGTAGAATCTACATCCTAATTATTTTGTGATTGAAAAATCTTATGCGAAGCAAATAGATTGAGCAAATTTATTTAATTGTTTCAAAAGTTTGTACAAGATTTCTATGTTTACTTTGAGAGTCTTATATTGTAGCAGAGGCCTTGATGCAAAACGGGAAGAGGATGAGAAGAAAGGATACGAGATACCAAACCCTCTCAAGGATTAGGTCAAGAAACACATAAGTTCTCCACAGAGCAACACTTTTACTATAGAGCAACACTTTTACTATTATCATTCTCTCATAAAATAGTAGGGATTACATCAATATCTATAGACCAAGTCTCCTATCAAAACAAAAATTATTCTCGTACTAAAATTCTATAATAGCTTTCTAATCAAACTCTCACTGCACAAAATTAATGGAACACTCCTACTCAAAAAAAAAATTGCCTACTTCAATAATCTAATGAAAAATAGTAAAACAATCCTAATAAAACTGTCAATCTCACTTTCCTTTTGAACAAAAAATCCTAGTCTTCCATCTAGTCTTAAATTGGTCCAACAAATTCATCCTGTCTCTTTAATTTATTTGAACTTTTGGAATGTTGCTAGATACCCTTTGAGTATTAATGAGGGGATGCTTCTTGTCTCATATCCAGATTCAGAACAGCAAAAAACCTAAGCTGCGGAAGTGTTATGACTGAAAACTTAGATGATATAAGTTATATCTTATGCCATCAGTTTAGTTATTACATTGAATCTCCTTGGTTGACACCAATCAAATTAATGGGTTGTAATCCCCTTCTTAGGCTGTAAATGCAAAGTTTTACCCCCAGGTAAAGTAGATAATGTGTAAGTTTTTTGTTTAAATTATAATGTGTAACGAATTTAGCACTTAATGTGCGATAAGCAATAATATTGACACCTTACAGAAGATCTATGAATAATTTATTAATACCAATAGAGTAAAAAACATTTGCATAACTTTCGTGTTTTGTGAAAGTCAAATTTTAAAAAGTAATCTCTTTTTAATCCATAACATGTTGCAATTCTGCAATGTGATGAAGGGCTATGGAAGTCATATTTCCTGAAACTGGTCGACTTTTTCCATAATCCTGACCAAAATACATGACATATCTGATTCCTGTCTGAGTCCTTCTCTAGGAGTTGGATTTCAATAAGGTTTCATGGGATGCAGAGGAAGGCTAACCCTCTTCCCACTTAACTATTTTTTTACAAAGAAAGCAAATTAGGAACAAATTTACGAGGCTCACC